GTACTTAAATGGCGAGGGGGATACACATTTTACGAATATAACAATAGTGGGCCATATAATATATTATTATATGAACACCTATAAAATACAATTATTAAGCCACTACGGCAGTGCTCGAATTGGAACAAAAATTGAGGACGGACGCTAGTTTTAGTACAGAGAACACCGTTCCATAGTAGATAATTGTATAGTAACTCGCGGGGGACTTCGTCCCCCGCACCTCCTGCACACATAGTAAATTAATTAATGAACACAACAACAATATTATAATAGTTAAACACTTATTTTTATTATTTATGAGTGGTACTTACTTTACAGATATAAAATTATTAAAAAAAATAAATAAATACAAAATACAGAAATAAATATTATTCTTTAATTAAATTCCACAAAGACTTGTTAGCAGTTTCTTCATTTAACTAAATCCTTTTAGGACAATTTTAATGAAACTTGAAGAAATCTTATCGCTTTAATACAATGATCGGTCCGATTGAAGTTAAATGGATAGTTTTTGAAGGAAAACTTAACTAAAATGGCTTTTACTCATAGTCAAAATTATTTAATTTAAAAATAATACCATGGAGCTTATACAAATTACCCGTTAAATTAAATGACATGGTTGAAATATATTAAAACCACTTTTTTAGCTTCGATGCAAAGCGAGAAGGTATTGGTTTTACTCTGATGTGGGCTTTTTTTTCGCTGTATACACTGTAACTTTTTTAATACTAAACCAATTCCTTCGAATAGCAACTCTATAAATCACAAATTTTATCTAGTTTGTACTTTGGGGGGGGGGGGTAAAAGTTGAAAAAGTTTAATTCTTCACAGACGAAATTTGAAAAAAAAAAAAACCGTACGAGTTTTTAAGTTAGAACTTTTACTGGCTATAATTTCGAGAAAAAGAGTCGGATCGAGTTGAAATGTATAAGAAATAAATATTTGGTATGCCCGCACACGTCAGTTGTGTCAAATTTAAACTATACCCATTTCCCAACCCCCTAGGGGGGGTACAATTTTTTTTGTTTTTCAGGGTTTTTAGCGGTAATTAAAACGTAATTTTAACCAAATTTTGGGTTGAAAATTTGCCAGTAGTTGGAACTCATATGTATCCATAACATATTAAACGGGAAAAAAAATAGGACTACAATTTTTTTTTAATTGCCGGGAAACTGTGTTTTCGCAGATTTCGTATATTTTAACAAAAACACCTAAAATCTTTAAAAAAAATTGATCAAATCATTAAAACAATTTTATGTATATCTATGCAGAATGATACTATTAAGTTTTGTGCTCAAGTACCACTTTTGGCTTTAAGTTTACACAAATTTAATTAAATTTTTTTATTTTTAACTTAAAACCCGGTGTACCAGATGGGAGAAACGAACAGACACTAAAAACTATAAGTTGGTAACGTCTATCCGTGTTAGATAAGGTTAGGGCCCAATGATCGGTATCATGATATTGTGTTTATTACATGATATCACAGACGACTAAATCGTGTAACTGATTATAGTAGACACTCGATTTATTGGGAAAAAAACCTATCCGTGTACTTATTAAGACACTTAATGATTCTGATACGACAAAACCACTGTCGTTATCTCGTTATTTTATAGCCGGCGTTATATAACCTTACCGAAGGTCAACTATGAGTATATAAGGTCCAACTACCTGCAAATTATGAAGAGGACTGTTGTTTTTTGATTAAGTGTTGGTTTTTATGCAGTATACCGCCTCAAAATGTATTTTTTATTACACAATTTTTTTAAAGGAAAACTAATGTTTTGCATATTGTTATACTGTTATTCATTTAAAGAGATTCACGCTTGATTGTTTAAATTGTCTAATATTAGATAATCTGCTTCGTGCTAATTTTAATTTTTTAGTTTATCAACTTGTAGCTCTAATTTTGTATAAAATATTTCATTATTTTATTACTATGTACAAGTTAAGATAAACTTTAATATTAATTAAGTCATAAATGATAATACTTTTTTTTATGACTAGATCAAATCTCGTGAACATTTTACATCATGATACTGCTCCTATGACCATTATTAAAATCTCCATAAAAGGTTATTGTTAAATAACAGGCAACAGCCGACCGCTAGTGGCTATACACGTTAGTAATATTTAACTAATAAGTAATATATGTAGGTAAAATTTATTGTTTTCTCCATCACAGTACCAGTATACGTTTTATTTTAATTTAAATGTAAGAATATCGATTTTTCTTTAGAAAATAACAAGAAATTAATATACAGGATGAGGCAGTAAAACGGCGATTTTTTAATGTATTTAAATGGGAAACCCCGTTTCACTATCCCACCCTTTACATTTTAAGGATCTATGAAAAGGTTTTTTTAGTTGCATTTTATTTTGTACATTGTCAATCTAGTAAAATAGAAGTATAATATAGGTAGCTTTGAAATAATATAATCTAGGAAGTATAAATAGTTTGTGTGAAATTGCTCTAATGGAAGTATATAATACATAAATATTAATTTTATTGAGAATAAGCGATTATAATTTAAACTATGGAGTACAAACGATTGAAACATGAATCGTCGACCATTCCAACAAAATATAACAAGACATTGTATATGTGTTATTTGGTCCACTACGTTTTTGCAAAAAAAACCAGTACAGTGGGGTCGAGGCATAGTGGGGACGGGGAGGTCACAGGTTTACAGGAATTTTTAAATCTGAAAGTGATAAAATCACTTTCGAAAAAACGCTTCGATGCAAATCGGTAGTTAGTATTTTCAAGCTGTACAGCCCAAACCAAGCACAGTATAAACCAGCAAAGTAAGAAAGTTTTAAATCAAGGTTCTGTACTTACAAATGAGCATCAAAGCGTTTATTTGAAAGTGATTTTATTCAATTTTATCACTTTTATTTATAATAATTCCTGTAGACCTGTGACCTCTCCGTTTCCTCATTGCTTTGATTACATTATGCCTATACTCTACTGTACTAGTCCTCTCGGATAAGTTTTAACCTTTATTTAAAACTTTCTAACTTTGCTGGTTTATATTGTGCTTGGTTTGGACTGTACTGGCTTGAAAATACTAACTACCGATTTGCATCGAAGCGTTTTTTCGAAAGTGGTTTTATCACTTTCAGATTTAAAAATTCCTGTAAACCTGTGACCTCCCCGTCACCACTATGCCCCGACCCAACTATGCTCCGTCCCCACTATGCCCCGACCCACTGTACTGGTTTTTTTAAATATTGCCCATACAAAACTCCTTAATATTGGCCCGGTACCCAACAGCCTTAAACAGTTTATTATAAAATAGCTAGATATATAAATTGATTGTAATTTAATATCAGAATAGGTATGCGTTTGAGCATTTAATAGTTAACAAAAGTCAAAACTGCACAAAACACTCATCAATTAATAATTTAAATATAACTATTAAACTGTTATTTATTACATTTATTTACGTTAAGTTTTAAATTACTTTAGAGAGTAACATTGTAACAATCATACAATAAATATATTACTTATTCACAATTTTTTTTTTTTGGCTCTTGGGGTTGGACCCCCCCCCCTCTTTATTTTTTTATTTAAATAGTCTGTTATTGAATTAGCACAACTGTTCTTATGAGTTGACATTATATTGAAATAAAAGTAATATATTTAAAGTAACAAAGTCACTAAACAGTTGAAACAGTTGTAACAAGTAAAGGTAGGTAAAACTGACACGATTATTACTAAAAATTGATTTCGAAGTTATCATTGACCGTCGTCCGTCGATTTTTTTAAACACAGCGACTGATGCTATTATTATTATATTTTTAGCGGCCGACCTCCGGTGCAGTCTTGTGGTAAGGTCTTTTGAAAGGGTGGGAAGAGGAGTTATTATTGTCATAATATTTTGCTTTATCCAGCGATACAGTATACACTACTATTGTATAGCTAAGTATAAACAAATACAAACAATTAAATATCGATGGTATACTTAATACTGGCGAAAAAATGTCAGCGATAAAAAAAAAGATCACTGTAGCCAGAACTATGTATTTATGTAATATGTACCTATATAGCTATAATATTATTAGAAATAAAGAAGTAAAATTCAAATACACCGTTTAAAAGTAGACATCCGTCGAGGGGACGCGTTTCTGGCGTTCCTCGCTTAATTAAATGAAGGGAAACGCTGATCTGATAAGCGGCTCCGCCTGCGCCCCCCCCAATTCGAGCACTGCACTACGGTATTGCATATTAACACGTAGCCATACGTTCCAGTCATGGTTGAAGCGTTTATCAGATATATTTTTCTATTACGATTTTCTAACCAATTATTATAAAAAATCGTTTGGGAATGTATTCTAACATCATAACAGGGAATTTTTAGCGTAGCAAGAGTTCTAGTTAAGAGCTCTAAAATATCCTAGAATACCCCAAAAAATACAAAAACTTTATGAGGCCAACAGATACATATCAAAAATGTTTTATCATATTCATACACCATTGTATACAAACATAAGGTAATTTGAAATCTCTAACAAATTTAAACTGTAAGTTGTTAACCATTTTTGCTATAGTAAGCTATTAAGCTACTATCTTTATTAGACAGCTGAACCTAATAATGTAATATTTATAAAAAGAGAAATTTATAATATTAAAAAATTAAAAAAAAAAATCAACTATTAAACAATTAAATATTATCAATGCATCGAAATCTCTAAATTAAGTAAGTAGTGAAGTTGTTTTTTTTGATCTTTCAAGAGCCGTTTGCGTGGGTACGATTTCTTACAAAAAATACATTAAAAAAATATTGAGCTCTAAGCAAATACACAATTTTACACTACAATGAACGTCAAAAAATATATGGAAAAAATGTTAACAGTATATCAACTCGGCCATTATTATAGATAGTTATATATTGTCTTGAAAACAAATACTCGTATTAATATGTATTTTATTCGTGCAAAAAAACTTAAAAACCATCCGTATCCCAAACTTTTTTTCAATCAGTTGTAGACAATCGTTGGTTCTATAAGTGCTGAAAACAGTAAAGGTTTTAGTACAGCCGAGTTAAATTAGTTTACTATAACAGTTAATATGATAAACATCAAAATTATTCTTTTACTTAGTCTGGCAGCTTACGAGGAGTAAGTATTTTTTCTATTTTTTTTTTAAAGCATTTGGAAAGGGAAACCGTAAAGTCCCGGAAATTATAAATACGGGAAAAAAATATATTCGTGCGGAAAGTAAGAAACAGGAAAAAAATATTTTACTGTATACAGTGTATACAGGGCACGGTTTTATTTTTTACTTTACAGACGCGAGTAAAATGCTAGGAACACTATTCCATTATTTTACTAGTATACTAGTATAGTCGTATGTTGTGACTTGTGTCTAGAGACACGGACGTCTTGTGTTGATAATGCGTACCTGAACGTTCCACGTCATGGGAGAATTTGTATAAAAAGTAGGACAAAATTATTTTTTTATTTATTTTTTTTTTTAATAGTAGAACAATAACAAAATAAGTAGACAAAAAAGATGTATTTCAATATTTTTTAAGTCTACAAAATGAAAAAATGTCGAAAAAAAAATTTTTAATTCTACAAAAAAAATTTTGTGGTATGACGGGGATTCGAACCAGGTATGGCATGACTAAGCGTAAGCGGCGATGCGCCGCGCTATTCTACTCTACTACTCTAGTATGTCGAAGGCTGTATTTTTGTCAACTTTAAATAATTAGGAATGTTTTAAAATAGATTTTCCACTGTTACTAGATATTAACTAGGTATTTTCGAATTTTTCGACTTTGAAATAACATAAAACAAAATGGCGGAAAGATGCGGACAATTGTTTTTTTTTAATTTGCTTAAGGAGAGTCCTAATTAAGCATTGGTTAACAAAAAGTTGCCCGACTAGGTCCGAAAGGTAAACAAAATTACCTTTATTCTTAAAACATAGTGTAAAATATAGTGCTAATATACGTGTAAATGAATGTTTGACAACTCGTTAATTAGCTAGTAAAATAATACAAAATCATGTAAATCTAAAGAACATAGCTTCCTTTTCCATTTCTACAAGTTTCGATAGTTAAAATAAATTATAACCAAAAATAGAGCAAATGTAAACTTACTCGTATTATACAGCACAGAGAACGAAATAATTCGATTCTCACATGACTAAGTTTAGATTAAATCTATTTAACTTATGAGAAGGGGTTGGAGTGGTACTGTTTTTATTAGTCTAGTTTGATAAAACGATTAGTAAGCTACAAGAAAAATATATTTGTTGTGGACTTCTTTTAATTTAGTAATTTCGACTTTTGTCCCACTCATTCATACAAATACCCCTATGTGGCGTTCATACGACCGCTGTTTAAGAGGTGCGGAATTATAAAAAAATATATAATCGTTATAGTTGCAGTCGGTAGTGCTTCCTTCAATTAGATGAAGGGTTCCAGGATTAATTATTCTTATCTACATCGTGATTTATGTATTTGTACTACACATTTATTCTTGAAAAACACTTTCTGTGATTTTACGGTTTGGGTTTTCCGCATTTTTACGGTCAGTGACAATATAGTGTATTTACCGTGTAATTATTTTCCGGGTTTTTATATGCGTCCTTTGGAAATATTTTATCAAGTCTAGAGTGTATGAATTTTTATTTTTAAAAAAATCGTTTGCTTTTTAGGTGTGGTGGCGGCAATCTTTTAACACGTAACTATAAAATAAAAAAGTTGGTATGAAAAAAATTAACTAATAAGGTTGGGGTATAATGGAATCCTATCATATTGGTGACGTGGAGATAATAGGCTTTTAGGTAATTATTATGACTGAATTTGGAAATAACCATGGATGGAAATTAATTATAGATGGTAAAAACTATTAAGTATGAATAAAAATTAATATTTTCAACATTGTTAACTTTTTTAATGATGATAAATTGAATTGTACCGATGATAATTTCATTTTTTTTATGACTGTTTTAATTATTGTTAACTTTTTCAATCATAATTCATTTAACTATTAGCCATGAATAATTTGTTTAATCATTATTTATATTTTTAACATCGCATTCATAGTTAATAATTTTGCTTTTTAATACTCGATTGATTAGGAAAATGTAATTAATTTGTATAACTAAGTAGTGTTAGCGGAAACAAAAAATCCTCCAGATAAAAATGACTTCTTCTGACATGAAAAGTCTGATATCTCTATTTATTTTTTTAAAAATGGCTACGCTACGGAAACAAAGTTATTCGCAGTATTTTAGTTTCATTTAGTTTTATTTTACTAATATTATTCATTAAAAAATTAGGCAAATTCTAATAATTGCATAGCCTTTTTAAGTTTTTTAAGTTAAATAAAATTATAAATATTATTATTCAATTATACATAAATAATTTCTTAAGTCACCTAATTTAATTACAAAAAATATAGTTTTTTATAAAGGACTAAAATTAGTTATGCAAATAATTATTGAATAAAATTATTCGCACTTAAGAGTTAAAATGTATTTTATGACTAATTTTATTTATTGTGATTAAAATAATAATGATTAAAAGTGAACTTTATGTATTTCATTTAAATGACAAATTTTCCAAATATGCATGTAGGTAATTTTTTTTTAAAATAATCTACTGAAATTTTAAACTGGTCGATTGAGTATATTATCATGTTGCCGCAAAAAAAATTACTAAATTAACACAACATTTTTTTAAAAAATAACAATAAAAACGATAAATATATGAAATTATTAACAGCACAAGCTAAAATGCATTTAATATTGCATTATTGTGTTTGTTATCCGGGTAAGAAGTTATTTTAACTTTTCCTAATTAAAAAAAAAATTGGTTATAGATTTTTGAAAAAAACCATACCAGATCCATGCTGTCCATACTCTTGAGGGCAAAGTGCCAACGGGTTTTTATTAATATTTTACTGTAGAGCAGTTGCACAATTAAACAACTATCCTTCATAATTTGGAACAAATTCAGCAATTTTTCAAAAAGCTATAGCTATAGTATTTTAAAATTTTAAAACATTTTAAATTTGTAGTAAATTTTTCTTGACTTAAAAGAGGAAAGGTTATATTTTTAAATATTTTTGTCCATGTTAAGCATCTTTTAGGTATGATTTGTTATCTATACATTTGCAAAAAAAAAATAATTGGTGTTAAATGGTGTTGTCGTGTTATTTGATTTTTTAGGGATATTAAAAATCCCCCCGTAATGTGTCGTTAACTTTTTGTTAGGACTAATCTACATCAATACCTCCTCGACCCCGCATCTGAGCTGAACAAAATTGAATTAATCTGTGGTATTTTTTTAAAATTTAGTGATTGCTACAACGTGTTTAAGATTATGTTGTTAATATTTCAGGTTTTTTTACAAAAAAGTCTTTGGCTGATGCTAATAGCGAGGACGGTGAATCGATTGGTTATCATTCGGCAAACGAGGTGCCGACTTATGACAAGGAAATTGGAACTGTGACTACATTATATAACATAGGTAATACAGATAAGTCAAATTTGGCCTCGGGGCCAAATAAATGTTATACCTTATATCTCATTTTATTTATTGAAAACGTTTCAGAAGATGCAGTTCATTACCTAGGTGATAATGTCACCGTAGAATTTAAAGGAGAGGCACTCTTCATCAACGGCAAAGAAATCCAAGGGGTTACTCCGGGGACCCTTCAGAAATCACGAGAAGAGGGCGTTGATAGAAGAGAAATGGAGATATCCAGTTATCCTGCTTCAAGAAACTATCCGTTTACTGACTTTTGTGTAGTTCAGTTTAATAATGATACTTTAGATGGTAAGTGTTATTCATCCTCGGGGTAGAACTATTATCATTACTTATATCATATGTTAATTGTTAAAAACGTTTCAGTTATTAACCAAGAGCCAGAACGCAAAATCCTTACATTTATAGGCGATACACTCTCGATCGACGGCAAAAAAGTCCCAGGAGTTAATGCAAGGAAGAGGCCATTATTAATAGAATGGGGTGATGGTGTACTCAAGATCGACGGTACTTTAAACGGAGAATTCGGTCCAATACATGGAAGAGGATTCTGGGAGTGTTTATGAAGCTATAAATCTACAATAAAAAACATAATTTCAATTTATCTAAATTCAAAAATTGCAAACTGATTATAAAATATTAAAATTAAAATTAAAACTAAAACTATAATTATTAAAAATATGAAAATAAAAAAATGTATTATTATATACCGTATAATATCATAGTACTATATTTTAATCTAGAAAAAAATTAAGCAACTTATGGTTGTATGTAATAAAATAATAATAAAAACCCTTAAACATAACAATTATTATACTCTCCGCGTATACAGTCTCAGTTTGTCGTTAGCGTTGAATATGATAACATTGTTTCCGAAATACGACGTTTACGCGGAGAGTATATCATTTTTATGGTTAAGGGTTTTTATTTATTTATTTATTTTATTACTATATATTAGTTATGCAAAATGTTTACCATTTATTCATAAAATAACACACAAAATCAAATTTATATAACTTAATCAGTCATTTCAAAAACGACATAAGTAGCTCACAAAAAAAAAAATTGTAATTGTTATAGTTCTATTCTAGATCTATTCTCGGTCTAATATCTGTTACAAAAAACTGTTACAAAAACTGTCAAGCTGTTATCTAAAAAAGATGAGGAATGGGGTTGGGGTGGGGGTGGGAATGGGGATGTTAATTTTTTTAATTAAACTATAACTGAAAAATAAATTCAATAATTTAAGAGGTCATATTCCTATTAATTGTTATGGGTAAGGTTTTATGAAAACACTAAAATATTAGCCAGAAACTTGATATGTTTACTAGCCACTTTAGATACTATCTTGTTAATATACCATTTCAATATAATTCCACCACAACCCTAAATTTTTTCAATACATCGACGATATATAAAAATGCTCTTTCGTGGTTGCAGACTCGGCTGAAAAATGCTTTTTTTACTTTCAGTTGTAATAATCACTGTAAACATGTGACATCCACGTCCCCACTATACCCCTAAAAAAATTTAAATAATACTATATATTTTGTATTTGAAAAAGTTAAGAATACTTTATAAATCCTGAAGCTAGTCTGGAATTCAAAAAAGAAAATAATATATTGAGAAGCTCTACTCTATTTTGAATACCTGTTAGAAAATAATTAAAACGTACAGAAAGTACTATAAAAAAAATTATCTTAGTTTTCTACAACATTGGAGGCGATTAAAAAAGTTCTGAAGGTCAGATTGAATAAATGATAATTTATTATGCCATATATTTTATTTTTCAATGACTAATTGTTATAAGAAAAAATAGATGGTTTAAAACTATCAGGTCTCACTACAAGATGATGCATTTTTGTGATTTCATTTTTCTTAACCAATCAATGTATTATTATATTAGATGTTTATTGTTATCAAAACCACTAAATTTAGTATAACCAGTAATAGATGGGGTTTTCCTTTTAAAGTGTTCCCTCATTTCATTTATTCGTGCCAAATGTGACAAATTGTGTACGAAAAAAATTATTTAGGTTAATTTGTATATATTTTTCTTTAGTTTTATTGTACGGATCGTGTAAAATGTGAGGATTATGATTGTGTATTGAAAAATCTTCTTTTTCATTATATTCGCCTTACACTCCCAACTACATGGGGTCGGCCACCCTAGCCCTACATCTCCATAGAGGTATAGGTGTGTATTGAAAAATCAAAGATAATCTTTATAAGAAAAAAATGAAAATGAGTTTTCTAAAAGTTGTATGATAGGGCATTTACAGTCAAAACATATGGCACGGTGGTATTCGTTAAAATACTTTTCTTAACATCGAGTTTGTTTGAGTACTATAATTTTGAAATATACAATAAACGTTTCTCATTACAATTGTTTTGTATTTGATACAAATTAGGATATATCCAAATTTTAGATTAGAAGGCGACCTAATGGGTCGTGGGGTCTTTATAAAATGGATATATTATAATAGCTTTGATGAAAATATAATATTTTTTGTGTAAAATGTCGTGAAACTTTAATTTAGCTTTACTTTTTCTTTCTTTTGTTCTTAACATTAAATGATTATTTACGTCAATTTTGATGGAATTGTGCTAAAAATAACATATTCTATGTTAAAGTGTTTTTTAATTGGAATAATTTATGAAACAAAAACGTTTTCAAGCACAATACACTTATTCTGAGCTAAATAATTTTCTACTACTCATACTCCTCTTTGACTCCTTTAGAGCATACGTATATAAGCTGCTATAAGCAAACCTATATATTATTTTTTTTCATTATAAAAATTATTTAATTTTAATTTTATTTGAGCTAACTAGAAATACAATGTTTTAAGTCTGTCTTTATACATTTCAAACTAGCTACCAAAATATCTATTATAATATTACTATATGGTATGTTCCTAAATTCTTTATAATATATCATGTTAAACACATTTGTATTGTGTATTTAAAATAAAATATATTTTTCATATTCAAGATTACTATTTAATCGTTATTATGATCATAAAATGTGTATCCGACTAAGCTTGTTAGACAAAAAATAACTGAACCTTAACTATCTAATGTTTTTATTTTGAAGATAGTTAAGCATTATAAATTATAAATTATAAGGTTGTTTTTAGAAATCCATCATAAGATTAATGTAATATTCTACATATTAATATTTTGTCATAAGAACTCAAGTACGGAGAGTGCATAGTTGGATTATCGTTAACATATCGTGTAGACTAAAAAAAACAAAATTAGAAAAAAAGAAATATATTCGCAAAACCTAAAATTGTTTAACAAATTATATATAATAATAAACTAAACATATTATAATAAAAAAAGTGGTTTCCCAAAAATGTTTGGCAAAATAGAAATACCCGTTTCATTTTAGATTTTTTGTTTTAAAAAAAAGTAATGATGACAATACCTTAATTTACATGAAACATAAATGCACAATAACACTTGTGCCACAATTTTTTAATTTAATTACTAACTTAATAAGTGGTCTGAACATTATGCATTTCCATATTATATTACACAAAAAAAAATACATATATATATATATATATATATTGTGTATTTTTGCCTTTATCGACGTTATACAAAAAAGTATAAATAACTGATGGAAACTTCCAAAAAAGCTTCTATTAACAAATACAGTATAGTTGAATACTGTTCATCCGTTAACGCAGTTCAAAATAAAGCCAATACAATGTTGAGCCTTTATAACATTATTTCAGTTTATCTAACTACATACACGTTGTAAGTATATTAATTACCAAATATCAAAATCATAATTGAACAATTTAAAATACAGATTTCTCGTACTTTTGATAAATAACGAATTTTCCAATAAGCAAAAAACGTTGTATATGTTTTCAGAATTGTAGGGAATAACGCATTTGGCCAGGGTATAATAACTATTAAATTTTAAATACTGCAAAAATAATAATACAAAAATGGTCTATTTTACAGAAATAGCATTGTTACTATTTTCATAGATGTAATTTTGAATATTATGTAACCACATTTTAGACGGTAACTCAATCGATCCGAGAGGGCTTCAACCTCGATTAAGGTCCAATGATGTGCTCAATACAAATGAATTGTCTTCATTCAAGTCTCCACCCATCATGAAAAATAACATGGTTAATAATAGTAAGTCCAATTTTTTGACTTTGGGGTCGAATTACTGTCGTACTTTACATCGTCGTTATTTAATTATTTGTCCCATCTGTTCCCATATACTCGAATTATCCTTTAATTATTTCATTCGCTATTAACGTTGCAGTCCTGGTGATCTAAAGTGGATTATGCAAAAAAGAAGATTCATCAAGTATAAAATCCCAATGAGGCCTAATTTATTACCGTTTTGTAGGTTATCTAATCTTAGATTCCTTGTATAGGAGAGGCTCGTTTGGAACACGTATAGGAAACCCCAGATATTATTGCAATATGTACCTATATATGTTGTAATATACATTAATATTGTTGTTATTTTTTTTATCTATTAGTAAATCAGAGTACCAAGTTTGTGGGTAATTCGCTCGTGATCAACGGTAAAACAATTCCAGGAGTTCATAAAAACAAAGACGCACTGGTCGATTGGAATGAAGGTGTACTTAAGGTCAACGGGAAAGTTAAAGAAGGGTTCGAAGACATACGAGGAACAGGAAGTATTGCTATAGGACGTAATTCGATGAGATACAGAAGCGGGGCAGGTATTTAAAAAATACTATTGAATTAGCTGTTAATGGTTTGAAAAGACAAAACGTTGATCGTCGAACTGTAGGTATCTAGCAGTTATATTCAGTATAAGGTACAATAATTAAAAGTACTATACTACAGTTATTGTTAAAGACAACCTTTTGGGACTTTTCATAATTTGGCGAAATGTTTCATTGACAATGGTTTATATTATGTATAGAAAACAGGAACCATTTATTTTATTCAGAAACAAATGGGCAAAACAGGGAAAACGGATTTCTTAAAAGAATGGCCGATTGGTTCAGGAATTATTTAGGATAGGATACTTCGTTCAACTAAAACGAAACATTTACAATTAATATAGATACCGGCGAAGGAAGTCGGCAAGTAAACGATCAAAAAAATCAATATTAACAAGTTTAGCAATAATACAATGTCATGTAATTGAAATAATTATACATTTATTTACTTAGGCTAAATTAAATACATAAAAAAAAATAATGTAATTTAAATTAACAGTTGTTTATATTTTATGTACTACGTGAAATTATTCTATTAAAATGTTAGCTGTATTAAAATGCCATAAAATGATTTTCTTTTTCATTTTTCTTTTTTGGTAACATTTAAAAATAAATTGTTATTTTGGTAAATCTAAAATGTTTTCATTTTGTTCGACCTAACCAGTTTTTGTGTTTCTATGTGCGAAAAACCATAAAATTAACACAAAAAGATCTCACTGATTAATTTAAGATTGTAGCAACCAAAAAATTGATTTTTCAAAGAATGTCACTTGTACACTTTTGGTTCTCAATACTTGAAATAATACATAAGTTCAGTACAACTTTTATGACATTTTTTGTCAGAGTTGGTAACTTATAGAGATTGTGCAGTATTTTCTTAGCTTAAGTGTAAAAACACCTATTATCCAATTTGTATGGTATAATTTCGAAGGCCATGTGTTAACA